GTTATTTTGGGTGGACTAGGCGGTTTTGGTTTAGAGCTAGCAGATTGGTTGACTTTTCGAGGTGCAAAAAATCTGGTATTAACATCACGAACCGGGATCAGAACAGGTTATCAGCAATCAAGAGTAAAGCTATGGCGATCTTACGGTGTGGATGTACAGATTGTTACAGTGGATGATAATTTGAAACATGAAGACTGCGAATCTATATTAAAATTTGCTGAAGAAAAAGCACCAGTGGATGCTATATTTAATCTTGCAGTTGTTTTAAAAGATTGTACATTCCAAAATCAATCACCACAAACGTTCGAGGATTCGTTCAAATCGAAAGCATGGATGACGAAGAAAATGGACGAATTGTCGAGAACGATATGTCCACAACTTCGACATTTTGTTGTTTTTTCCTCCGTCTCGTGTGGAAGAGGAAACGCAGGCCAGACAAATTATGGGATGGCTAATTCCGTAATGGAGAGAATCTGTGAGAAAAGGACGGAAGAAGGATTACACGGTTTAGCGATACAGTGGGGTGCTATTGGTGATGTCGGACTCGTGGCAGATATGCAAGAAGAAAATAAGGAATTGGTTATTGGAGGTACATTGCAACAACGAATATCTTCCTGTTTGGATACATTAGAAGTATTTCTGCTACAAGACCGGCCTGTCGTAAGCAGTATGGTTGTTGCTGAAAAAACCAAAATTGGCGGATCAATGAACATTTCTGAAACGGTTGCTCATATCATGGGTAAGCAGTTTTATACAAAGCTAAACAATGAAGAAAACTAATTATAATGCCATGAAAGAGAAGTAAAGTCAAAATGTTATTCCAAGTATATATATTTATTGGAATAAGTAATATCTCGAAAAATAAATTTTGTGTGCAAAATTGAATTTAAAGGAATACGTATATTTTTGAAAACTACCTCTTACAATTGCAATAGACTTAACCGATTAAATCTTAGAAAGCTCCTGTGCGTACTTTCCTATTTTTAATAAAATAATAAATGCTTTGTAATTCGGGTCCTAATTTTAGTCCGCAATTGATAAATTTTTTTAGCGTCTCACGATATTAGTAAATTTTCTAGAAATTTAAGAAATTTCAAATAAAATGTATATTAACAATTAAAGAGTTATTGACAGTATAAATAATTGACAATTAATTTAGAAACAGCTAAGTGTTAAACGTACAGAAAATGTAACAATTTGATTTCTAATATTAAAATTTTTGTTGGTATGCAATTTTAGAACATTAAATAGAGTAACATAATACTTGGTAAATTACCGAATAGGGGACTCACCTTCTATGATCTTGACCTTGATATGTATTGTAGAAGTCATCCTTTTTTGAGTAACCTTCAGAATATTTTAACCATTGCTTGCTTCTTTACTAAAAAGTTATTAATAAAATTTTTTTAATAAATGGAAGATTGTTAACAAAATTATTTTAATAAATAAAACGTAATTTTTTGATACTCTTACACTTAAGAAAAAAATTACATTTTGCCGAGGCTTATATATTTTTCTTCTCTCCTCTTGCACTCCAATCTCAGAAACGCGTATTTTCCGTTTAGCATACATCTCATTAACATAAAATGGTTCCACATGGGTTTTCAACTTTCCATGCAAACCGTATAATGATATAAGACCTCGTTATGTACTGCAAGCACCGGACAATGTGGGGTAGATATCGTTTCACGTGAAAAGTTGAAAACCCATGTAAAATTGTACAATAATAAATTTTCTTTTGCATTGATGTATAACCACCGAGCGGGTAAGGTAAACCTCGACTATTGCGTGAAAATCGCAAAATGGTATAAAAATTACGTTCTATTTCTGAAATTTTTTTGTTAATAACTTTTTAATAGAGAACAAGCGACGGATAAAACCTTCTGGAAGTTACTCAAGAAGATGAACTTTTATAATATAATGTTAAGGACAAAGTCATAGAAGGTCCCCTATACGGTATATTTACCTAAAACTTATTTGAATGTAATTAATACATAATTCTTACTTTATTTCCAATTTTACCAAATAGGATTAAAGAACATAAACACAGTGCCACCAAACGTACCACTGGTCGAAATGGGTATGGATTCGATGATGGCAGTTGAAATTAAGCAGACGTTGGAAAGAGAGTTCGATATTTCCTTGACAGCGCAAGACATTAGAACTCTAAATTTTGCTAAATTAAAACAAATAACAATTACAGGCATACAAGAAAAGATACACAATACAAATAAAATTAGTGAAGATTTTGACGTGCTGATTCGAAAAACGAAGGATGCAGACTTTGTTCCAGATATTCTTGTAGAATTTATTACCAAGAAAGAGGTTGATCGAGGTAATATATTTCTCTTACCAGGAATCGAAGGATGTTCAAGCGTATATAAAACTATGGCATCAGGAATTAAATTTTCGGCAACGTGTTTGCAACATGGTGTACTTAATATTCCTGACGACAGTCATTCAGTGATGAAGTCAGCCGCTTATTTGCTGCCTGTAAGAAGATTAAATTTAATTAAACTATTTATGTTGAAAGTAATATTTAACAATTAGGTACAAATGTTTCGTATTATACCACAGCTTACACATACATTTATGATTATTTATTTTCTTAGCACATATTAAAGAAAATGAAAGATCAAAGGAAATTTCTGATAGTGGGTTATTCGTTCGGATCCTTAATTGCCATTGAATTAGCAAGATTATTAGAAGCTAAAGATTTCTCAGGACGATTAATACTAATAGACGGCGCTCCTGACCAAATGAAAATTTTGGTTAATCAATATTTTCACTGTGCTTCACTAGAAGAGTTACGAAGTACAGTTTTACTTGGTTTATTGGGAATGTACGCTACAATTAATAAAGAAACGGTTAGTAAATTATAAAAAATACATTTTAATTTTTTATTGTAAAAATTATTTATCTAATTTTAATCCTATATAAATTTAAATAAAATGAGGTTGTTCGTTCGTCGTTGTTTAAACGTATAACATTATCACAAGAGTTTTACAACATGATTTTCAATATAAAACACCATAAGTCTTCGCATCATAATTCTTATTTTGCTCTTCGATTTTTATACTCATTGTCAGAGAAATAGGATGTGCGTTCGATTTTAATTGCAGTAAAAACTAATATGATTAATGCGTGCATTTTTCACTTTTATCTTTTTGTTTACCGGTCTTTACATGCTATCTTAACTTTTTACACTGAAAATGATCTGATGACAGACTAAAACGTATATTAAAGTGTTATTGTAATTAAAAATTACAATAAAAATTAAAATCACCTTGTTGTGGCTTTTTTATGACGTTTTTTTATGTGGAGATTTAGGAATTTTAATAAAATAAACAAGGATAACAACAGATTTTATCATCGTTCGAGAATTTAATATATCTTTTGTATTACTGATAAAATGCAGATGTTATTTTAGCATATTTATTATTATTAACCATACAAAATGCAAAATTTTCTTATTTGCAGCTTGCGTTAGAGCTGAATAAATGTAACACGGACGAAAAATTAAAAGTATTTCATGCTTACTTCCCGAAGGATTTAAATGTATTGACCATCGAAAATCAAAAGCTTATATATTTCACAATTTACAATCATATTGTCGCTGTACAGGATTACGATATCTCATCATTACCTCGCCTTAAATCATCTATAACATTGCTAAAACCCACATTTCCGATTGTCTCTTTTACTGAAGAGGATTATGGTTTACATAAGGTAAATAAATCTATAATTTTGATAGATATTTTTGAAATAAAACTATGATTTTAAAAATAATATGAAACTTATTATAACAAGAAACTTATTTTTAGGTTACCGAAGGTAAAGTGCAAATTCATTATGTGGAAGGTAATCACATCACAATGATGGACAACGACAAAATCATATCAACTATTAACGAAGAATGGGTAGAAGATAATATAATACAATATAAGGAGGAGGAGGAGGAGGAGTAATATAATATGTATACTTTATCGGGGAGAGGGGGAATGCGGTAACATTAAAACAAAATATTTCTAAGATATTATATATCAAACAAAATATTTCTAAGATATTATATATCAGGAAATAAGATGTCTTTCTGATAATGTTATCCTACAATACAATTACTCCTACGTCTTTACTATTTTAAATAAACATGTATGAAAATATATGTATGCTTAAATTTGTGTGTTTAACAATATATTTCGAGAAGTGAAGAATCCAATTAATTTCAGACAATTATGCTTCTTTTATGGTCCTGTGAACTTGGCACATCATACCTAAAAATCTAAAAGTTTTTTTAGAGTTTTGACTTTCTTTTGAATAGTTCTAAAGTTCTAGATAAGCATTTTAAATAGTTCCGATGATTAATTACAAAAAAATCGAATTTGAAAATACGGTGCGCTAAGTTCACGCAGCGCACTAAATCATGAAAATCAATTATTTCTTCGGAGTTCTAGTTTGTTTTACAATAGTTCTACAGTTTTGTATTGGTAACACCTATCTAAGAAAGGTAACAGTTCCG